GCGGACCGCATTGAAGCCACCGCGGCCGCGGTGCATTTTATGCGGCCCGCGGTGGCCAGATTCAGATAATGCAGAATCAAGCCAAAAAGCCTCAGCACGATACGCGGTGCATTTTGTGCGGACCGCATTACCTCGTCAGGGCTATTTTTGTCCAAAATATTTGGCCTAGTATAAATACTTTCTTTTCACATTTCTAGGTCTTCTTTTGTAATCTGACTTTGAGGAGAGCACGTGAACGACTCTTTTATTCCATTTTGAGTAATTTGTAGCTACATTTACGCTGAATCTTCATCATCTTAGTTTGTAATTAAATATTATGGGTTATTCTTCATCTAATTTCTTGTTTTCTTCCAGTATTATGAGTAGCTAGACCCATTATCTAGGGTTGTGGCTCAACCCTAGTGTGGGTATTTGATGGGTCTTGTGTTTTAATACTTAGATGTTTATGGGTGGTTGATATTTGGACTGATTTGTGTTTTGTATGTTGGATTAGTGGTTGCAAACACTAACTTGTGCCTAAGTAACTTGGGCACTTCTTGAGAAAGAGAGTTTAAGTCTAGGAAATCAGTCCAACAAGAAATTGGGGCGTACTCAAGAGATTGATAGCCCCAATTAAAGGGTTAAATCTAGAGATAGTAATACCCGACTTGAGCCTACATTGCTTGCTTAATTTCAACACCCAATTGGTCTTGAGAAAGTCAATTCGGCAAAGTCACTCAAGCTACTGAGAGGTATAGAGTAGTGTCGTGCAAATGGCTATATCGTGATCCCAAACATAACATCTTTGCCTTAGACTTAGGAACCCGTCAAGTATTCACCTAGGGGGATGTCATTTCCCTAGTGCCTTGTTACCTATTAGACAACCCTTTAGCAAGTATTCTTAGTTAAATTTAGCATCTAATAGTATAAAAATAGAAGTAATAAAAAGAACAACTATGATTAGAAGTGTAATTAAGAGCATTACGCATTGCTAGTTTAGATAGGAATCCAATTCCCAAATCTAGCTCCATGTGGATTCGATCCCGACCTATTCGGGTAAAAGCTGCATCGACCGCTCTCGTCGCTCTATAGTGGTGCAGGATTGGCTTCGATCACTTTGCTTTGGCAGTTGCAGAGACCGTTGATGCGTTTGAGTGTTATAGCTATCCATAAGCTATTCCGAATATAGAACCAAATCGACAGATTAGTCCTATGGCTAAAGAGATTGAGTCTCTTAACAAGTTTAGGTGTTGCCTAGACTTGGTTGATGTGTGCGGTAATGGATAGAGCCCTTGCAAGGGCTGAGGGCAAGGTAGAGAGACGTTGTTCCTGTTGATGAAGAGAATTCAAGCCAAGGGGAAGATTTGTTATTTGTGGCTTGAATTAATTCATTGTATTTTTAGGAAACCCATAGTCCCTATAGGTTTAGGAAAACCCATTGTCCTAATAGAATTGGGAAAGGAAAACCTATAGTCCTTGTCAAATTGGGAAACCTTTCTCTTATATGTTTGGGACCTTTTGGGATCTATATATAGGGGTTGTAATTGGGGATTCTAAAGATTGTATTGTGCTTTTCTTCTCATTCATAGTGAAAAACTCTCTCTGCTTTTGCCCCGAGGATTAGGCTTAGCCGAACCTCGTTAAAATCCTTGTGTTGATTTTTCTTCTCTATTTGCTTTATGTGTGATAGTGTGCTAGTTAACCCACGATATTCCCCAACAGTTGGTATCAGAGCAAGGTTGGGTTTTCTACATATAATCTAGGGTTAAGATGTCTTCATCATCTTCAACAAAGTACGAAGTAGAGATGACGGGGGTTCTAGTTTCAGTCTATGGAAGATTAGGATGAAATCGTCCCTGGTGTTACAAGGGTTACGGAAGGCAATTGATGGGGATTTTCCTCAAGAGATGAAGGAGACAAAGAAGGCAGACCTAAAGGAGAGTGCTTTGAGTGCGATCTTCATGAGCGTTATAGATAGCGTTATTCGGGAAATTACTTAAGAAACTTCTGCAGCAACGGCATGGAAGAAGCTGGAAGATCTGTATTCTAAGAAATCGCTAACAAACCGCCTCTACTTGAAAAAGAGGTTATACAATCTCCGTATGAATGAAGGTACACCTGTTAAAACTCACATTGATGAGTTTAATTCAATTATAATGGACCTGAAGAATGTGGATATCAAAATTGAGAGTGGGGATCAGGCCTTGATTGTGTTATGTTCTTTACCACCGTCTTATGATACTTTTGCCGATACGCTGCTATATGGGAAAGACAGCATTTCACTAGAAGATGTTAGTAATGCACTAAAATCTGAAGAGTTGAAAAAGAGCTTTCCATACAGCAGTATTGAGAGCGAGGGTCTTGTGATTAGAGGAAGAACACAACAAAAGGACTTTAACAGGAAAAAGTCAACCGCCAGATCAAAGTCTAGAGCAAGGAAGCAACACTGTTATGAGTGCGGGGAGCAAGGTCACTACAAGAGAGATTGTCCTAAGCTGAAGGAGAAAAGAGGGAAGCAGAAAATAGATAATTCGACAAATAATGTTGACACTGGCAATAATTCTGATGATAGTGACTATGTAGGGGAAGTCTGTGCTGTGAGTTCTAGTCATGGACAGAATTCTTGGGTTCTTTATTCTGGTGCTACTTTCCACATGTGTCCACACAAGAATTGGTTTGCAACTTACAAGCAAATGAGTGGGGCTGTCTATATAGGAGATGATAATCCATTACCACTAGAGGGGGTTGGTAACATCAAATTGAGAATGTTCGACGGAATTATCAGAAACATTGAGTGCTGGCATGTTCCTCGAATAAAGAGAAATTTGATTTCTCTTTCGACTTTGGATGATCAAGGGTATAAATTTCACTCGGAGAATGGAATACTGAAAGTGTGTAAAGGTTCCCTGGTACTCATGAAGGGTAAACTACATTCTAAATTATATCATCTTCAGGCCAGTGTAGTTGAAGGGGAAGCTGCTGTAGCTTCTGGGAAAAGTGATCTGAATCAGTCTCAGTTGTGGAACTTGCGACTTGGCCATATGAGTAATAACGGTTTGTCTTTGTTGAGTAAGCAGAATTTGCTGAATGGGTACAAAAATCAAGTTTTGAATTTTTGTGAGCATCGTGTGTTTGGTAAACAGACAAGGGTAAAGTTCATCAAGAAGGCCGAGCACAAGACCAGAGACAATTTAGATTATATACACTCTGACTTGTGGGGTCCAAACAGAGTTCCCTCCAAGAGTGGTGCCAGGTAGTTTATGACTTTGATTGATGATTACTCAAGGATGGTGTGGGTGTATTTTCTGAAAACAAAAGATGAGGCATTTTCGACATTTGTTAAATGGAAGACGATGGTTGAGAGGCGGACGGAAAGAAAAGTTAAGCGTCTTCGAACTGATAACGGGTCGGAATTTTGTAGTTCTGAGTTCGATAATTTCTGCAGCAGGGAGGGCATAGTGAGACACCGCACTTGTGTTGGAACACCACAACAAAATGGTATTGCAGAACGTATGAATAGAAGACTTTGTGATAGGGCACGAAGCATGCTTTCACACTCATGTGTTAGCAAAGATTTTTGGGCTGAAGTAATCAATACAGCTTGTTTCTTGGTCAACAGATCTCCATCCACAGCTATTGAGTTCAAAACTCCTTTTGAGGTATGGTCCGGTTCGCCTGCTGATTATTCAAATTTAAGGATATTTGGTTGTCCTACTTATGCTCATGTGAGGGATGGAAAACTTGAGCCGAGGGCAAAGAAGTGCATATTTCTAGGGTATGCAAATGGAGTGAAGGGTTATAGGTTGTGGTGCACAGATCAAAAGATTCCAGGGCTAATTATCAGTAGGGATGTAACATTCAATGAATCTGCCTCACTAGACAGTCAGAGGGAGAAGGCAATAGCAGAAACAGATCGTGGTGTCAGTGACTGCATAGAGCTAGAAATTGAATATCCACTAGCTCAGCCCAGTAGTTCTAAAGTAGAGGAAGTGGAGGAGGTGCAAAATATTGATCAAGATGATAATATTGATGCACCTGCGCAACAACCACCATATAGCATTGCAACAGGCAGAGAGAAGAGAGTGATCAACCGACCGCAAAGATTTGCAAACGTAGTTGATGAGAATCTTCTTGGATATGCAAATCCTATGGGATTTGCTTTGGCAGTTGCAGAGACCGTTGATACGTTTGAGTGTTATAGCTATCCAGAAGTTATTCTATGTATAGAACCAAATCGACGGATTAGTGCTATGGCTAAAGAGATTGAGTCTCTTAACAAGTTTAGGTGTTGCCTAAACTTGGTTGATGTGTGCGGTAACGGATAGAGCCCTTGCGAGGGCTGAGGGCAAGGTAGAGAGACGTTGTTCCTGTTGATGAAGAGAATTCAAGCCAAGGAGAAGATTTGTTATTTGTGGCTTGAAGTAATTCCTTGTATTTTTAGGAAACCCATAGTCCCTAGGAAAACCCATTGTCGTAATAGATTTGGGAAAGGAAAACCTATAGTCCTTGTCAAATTGGGAAACCTTTCTCTTATATGCTTGGGACCTTTTGGGGTCTATATATAGGTGTTGTAGTTGGAGATTCTAAAGGTTGTATTGTGCTTTTCTTCTCATTCATAGTGAAAAGCTCTCTCTGCTTTTGCCCCGAGGATTAGGCTTAGCCGAACCTCGTTTAAATCCTTGTGTTGATTTTTCTTCTCTATTTGCTTTGTGTGTGATTGTGTGCTAGTTAACCCACGATATTCTGCAACAAGCAGAAATAAACAGGATACCACAATGGCGATAAAATAGATGGATCAATTTGAAAGAGTGTCATGGCCTGATAGCCAAGAAATTTAACAGATAAGTAAGTAGTTTATATTGCCTGCAAATGATGATGCTTTAGGAGTGCTGGAGGCTTAACAATAACCATTTGTCTCGCAAATGCAAATTAAATAACAAGTAAACAACTTGTCATAAAGAATAAATACATTAAGTTGATCCATTTACAGGAGACATAATAATCAGGTGAATGAGGCATCGTAAGCCAATAACAATATGCACAATTTGTGACCTTTAAGTTGCTTAATTCCACTTCCTGAAGACATATCTCAAGTATCAAATATATATATGAAGGCTGAGATTTAGAAAATGAATCTTGCTAATTCCCCACCCCAACCCCCAAAGTCTCCAATCAGTGGATATCCTGCTTATTTCTTCATTGCACCACCTTTTGAAGCATTTTTCTTTGATTTCCAAACATTGGAGGAAGTATAAAGTTATCGGAAATCATCTTGGAGGATTAAGCCGGTCCATAGAAGAACAGCAGCAACAACGAGAAGGATTGTAATTGGTGTCCATTTCAGCGCGATGATCTGGATGCCAACGACTAAAATCAGACCTGCTTGTTTTATTATCAAATATAAGATGATTTAGAATAGATCATACCTCAAGCCTTTTAGACTCCCAGATTGGAGAAGTACTTCTATGAGCAACCATCATTCTCTCGACCATTTCTGGTAGCATTTTGTAATAATCCAATGTATAGTTTTAAGTATATCATCATAAGATATAGTAAGCCAATATAAACAAAGCAGAATTGCAGTAGCCATAAGACAAGCTTACCAACTCTTCGCCTTCGTTCTGTTATTAGTGATAATTCATCTGTCCCAATATCTAAATCCTTTTGACGATCAGCAATTAGTTTAGATAAATTTGCCTGTGTTCTTGTATCCACATATTGCTTCCTAATGTTGCCAATGATAGTATCTGTGAGCCAGAGCAAGCCATGCAAAAAGGAACAGAAGATGCAATTAAACCTACACCTTATTGCCTAAACTTGAGTCTTAAAACAGAGTGTTTCTCTGTACCTAAAATAACTAATGCAACTACAAATTAAACTATAATGAACATTTTGAAGATTACCAAGTTTGATGAAGGTATATGGCTTTGTAATTCTGTCTGTGAGGCTCCTATCTAATCTTTCAAACTCCTGCTGTAAATCTTGTAGATAATGGAATGCCAGCTTTCTTGGATACGATGACTCGCATAACGTCAGAAAGCAAATCCCATTTTCAACTATGTAGCTGAAAGTAAAAAAATAAAGACAACGTGTAAAGAGTTAATTGTGTAATGTAAAGCTACAATATACAGTAGCTAAAAGTAACGGCAAAAGTAGACAATTAAAATGACAGGACGAAAAGGAATACAGAATTGATACCATCTTTTTTCTTTTAAATCTCAAATACTATATATCTTGCTGGAAATCATGTTAATAAATTAATTTAATGAACTAATGGGCAAAAGGGGTTGAAATATTGTCAGAAGCCTATGTGAGTGATATTAAATATCAAAACAATGGAAATCCGCAATCTTTTTTTGGAAAATTTCCACGCTACCCTTCGGGTGCGCACCGGATAACATGCTCAGCAATAGCTCGCAAACCACCTATGAAAGATAAACAGTACCAGGCAAGCCCGGTGCGACGATGCTGAGGTTGCTAGTGAGCGGACTGTGTGGAAAAACACTCACCCAACCAACTTAGTCAACCCTTACGGGCTGAAATCTGCAATCATGATAAACCATAAAAAGAAGCAATATTCAGCTTGTTAAGCCTAACGGAAAATATGTTAAGATCAACCTGCCCAAAAATATTCTTAACATGGTGTAATGTTTGATCAAACACGCACGTGTTTTCCCAAAAGGCCTTTCGAAACCAATGTAGAACTTTTTTCGCACACCCTACAAAATACATACAACATCAAAAGTAAAAGTAGATGAAAAGAAAAGGATACTTGAAGCAGTGGTGATCTACAAGAATGGTCATCCTGGAAAAGGGCAAGGCTCGTAAAGAAATTTCCTTGAGAATGAACTCAGCTTGTTGCTTGTAAGTTAAGAGGACATCATTCTCTTCTTGCACAAATCTTGGACATTGGGCAAGGGGCATTCCATCACTCACCCTCCCAATAATTGTCAGCTTCACCATCCCTTAATTAACAAATAAGAATAAACAGTACGTAGTTGAAAGTTGTGATCTCCTTTTTATCGTTTCCTGTTAATCTTTTAGGATAATTAAGGGAGACTAACTATGGCTTTTATAGCAAACTAATGGATGCAAAAGGAAAGAAATAAACCAAATAATGAAGGAGAGAACTTGGGTATGAAGTTATTCTTTGTGTGATCAAAAGTTCTCTAGACGCGGTTCAGGAAAAAAGCCTCCCTAGCTAGGGTGGCCGAAAAGTTTATAAGGTTACAAAAGGTATTTTAAGTTGAAAGTAGTCAACTTTTTTTCTTTCTTTTTTCCTTTTTCACATTGGAAGACTTAAGGAAGGAAAATTGACTATCTTTTTATATTTAATTACCTTTTTTCCGCTATGATTAATTACATGTTGACTAAGGTAAAAGCATGAAAAGTTAAATGCTCTTTCTTTGTACTATTAATTACGTTATTAATGGACCCTTTCCCGTTTATAAAGCATTTATTCATTTTTTACGTGGTCATTTACCCGCTCATCCTGGGTTTAATTTACCAGGATGTTTCTGCAACAACAAGGACTCATGGGATGGATTATGTTCTATATGATTAATTTTAGTATTTTTGAGATAATACATTTCTGGTAAATCTTAATTCGAGTCAGTTATGGAGTAACTGAAAACACACATTTTTTGGAATTTGGGGCTAGAAGTAACAACGATAACAACAGATGAACAGGAAAATTTACTTTTCCTCGTTATTCCGGCTATTTCTAACTTCTAAGCCTTTATAATACATAAAACACATATATAGAATAAATTCAATAAACGATCTAGGAAATTTTACGATATTTTTTTATGTGTTTGAATGAAGGTTTCAAACAAAATTGTTAAGGTGTTCAAAGGCACTTTAATCTTATCCAAAAAAGTTTGCAACAGCTTTTTGGGAAAGAATACCAAACGAGCATCTTAGCTCATTTCGGCAAAAGTTTCTTTTGAGGAAGTTCTATGGCCAAACACCTAAGAACTTTGTATAACATTTTCAAAAAACGCCTGTGCCATATGCCTTAATAGTTAATATTAATACTCTAAAAGAGAGAAAAAAAGAATAAAGGCGCTAAATTATCGTGTATTTAACAATCCCTTATTCAGCTCCCTTTACTTATTTTAATTTGTAGAACAAATCCAAACGAGGCATTATCCTTCTTTCTCTTCTTTTTTTTTCCCTTTCTTTTTCTTCCTTCAACTTACACAAAACTACAAAAGTGTTAATACTAAAATGTGAAAAGAAAGAACCTCACCCTCGTCAGAAAGAAGTCAAAGGAATAGTATGAAGGAATTTGAGAGATGACTCATTTCTAGTCTCGATCTCTTTACCATTTTTAATTTTACATGGAAAAAAAAAGTATATTTGACTTGATAATACTCTGTAATTGTAATGCTTGGCCCCCAAGAATACTCATATCAGCCCCACCATGACCAAAAAGTTCCTTATTTTCTCCAGAAGTGTGCATTGCGACGCGTTTTATACAAACTTGGACCCATAAACTTCTTTGATTTGGATTAATTTATACACTTCAATATTGTAACTAATTGTCATAGCAGATACATACCTTAATATTCATGTTAATAATCATACTTATTTTGGTTATTACTTACTTAAAATTAAATTAAAGTATACAAATTACTCATCCTACTTTATTTTACTGGTAATATTTGATTAAGAAAGAAAAAAAGATTTTGACATAATCAAAAGTCTCCTTAAAATTTGTGTTTTTATATATGAGCATATGCCATGACATTGTTATGGCTACAAGTGCATGTATGATTGTACACAAAGCTTAAGAAAGAAAGAAAAAATTTTAATTTGGCACAAACCAAAAAGTATCATTAAAGCTTGTAATTTTAGACATGTTCCGACATTGCTGTAACTATAAAAACAATTGTATTGGGAAAAAACTGAATTTAAATATTGAAGATGACGTGTCATGACATGTGGACCGGTCAAATAGTCAAAGCGTGGTAATCAGTTAGAAGGCACGAGCAACAACAGATGCGGGAGAGAAGATACTTAAAGGCACGAGCTATTATTCAAATGAAACGAGACTCGTACCTGTTCGAGTCATTTAAAGTTCGAAGATCAGAAGGAATTGAAGACATGAATCTGATAGCGAAAAAGAGTCCAAATTCAGCATTAAATGCCAAATACGTTAGAGAATTTGTATTTAATATGAATGATTGNGTCAAGAAGAACATAGACATAGCACAGATCTAAACAAATAACGGTGAAAGAACCTCGAATGGCTTACGGGTTTTAGTAGAAACCCTAGAAAGTGAGAAAGGCTTGGAAGAACAAGATCAGATCCTGAGTCGAAACGGTCAGGAATCAAGCTTGCAGTGTTTGAACATGCCGGAACGTGGCCGGAGAACCCTGGATCTACAGATCTGAGACAGATCTGAGAGAGGACCATCAAGGTCAAGCTTCCAAACTTCGAGTAGCTCAGGCTTAGGGGTGAGAGAGGGTGAGTACAGGCCATCTATGGCAGGAGATGCCATGGATTCCGGTGGGAATGAGGTGAGATAAGGCGGGAGGTGATTAGGGTTTAGGAGGGGTTAGAGAGCGTTTCAGAGACGAGGGGTTTCAAGGGCGGCGCCTTTGTGCAAATGACCTAGGGTTAGACGGGTTGGGTGATTAAAAAAGGAAAGGAAGGATATTGGCCGTTGATCAAAATGATCAACGGCTCAGATTTAAAAGAAAACCGGGCGGGTTTAGCAATTGGGTCGTGGGTTGGGTATTTTTAGGAATTGGGTCGTTTAATTTGAAGGCGGAATTGGGCCAGATTAAGGCTACAATTGAAAGGGGGGAAGGGCTGTTATTGAAATAGAAATAGGCTAAGTGTTAAATAGCCAATTTTCCCCTATTTATTTTATAAAAATAATAATAATAATTTTAAAAGAAAATTAAAAATACTGGGCCAACAAATACTATATAAATATTAATTTAAAAAATACTGGAAATAATTTTTGTAGCTATAAAATGCTATTAACCGTAAAATAGGCTATAATTGCAATTACACGCAATTTAGCTTTAAAAATACCAAATAAATTTGTAAAAATGTACAAAAATCACCTTAATTATATTTTGGTGTAAATATGAGAATGAAATAAGTTATTGACCAAAAAAATGATAATTTGGGGAATAATTATTGGATTTTGTGGTACTAAAATAGGCAATAAATTGGTTTAAAAATCATTTAAATTTTGGGAAAAGTAACAAAACTTGGGTATGCTCATATATGCGTATATATGTTATTTTGAGAAAAATATCTAGGGAAAAATTGGGTATCAACATTCATCATGCTAGATATCATGTTTAGGCTTTATGTTGATATTGTTGGGACCCATAGTGGTCGTTTCTTGGTGTTATCCCATTGAATTCATTGGTATTTCGTATTCAGTCACATTCATGCATTCATATCATATTTCAGTCTCAGTTGTTACTTATTGATACATCATATCATTGTTCCGGGTCAGTTTTCATGACATTGTGCCCGTAGGTGAGACTGGAGAGACTAATGACTGAGTGAGGCCGAGAGCCTGATTATGAGTGACATTTATAGGATCGGGTTGCACGCCGCAGTATGTTTTATTGATTATTAAGTATGGCCGAGGGCCTGATTGATTTATGCCATAATTAGCTTATTATATCGCTTGGGCTGAAGGAGCCTCTCCGGAGTCTGCACACCCCCAGTGAGCGCGCTTGATTATATTCAGGGATGGATCTTCCCTTGGTATTGTATTGGGAAAAAACTGAATTTAAATATTGAAGATGACGTGTCATGACACGTGGACCGGTCAAATAGTCAAAGCGTGGTAATCAGTTAGAAGGCACGAGCAACAACAGATGCGGGAGAGAAGATGCTTAAAGACACGAGCTATTATTCAAATAAAACGAGACTCGTACCTGTTCGAGTCATTTAAAGCTCGAAGATCAGAAGGAATTGAAGACATGAATCTGATAGCGAAAAAGAGTCCAAATTCAGCATTAAATGCCAAATACGTTAGAGAATTTGTATTTAATATGAATGATTGAGTAACGTTTCTTTTAATGTCATTTATTGCTCGTAATTGCCTCATTAAGACAAAGGCATTACACTTTCTCTTAAAATTAACTATAAAAAGAGAAAGTCACAACATGCGTAGGGGACAAGAAAATATTACGGGAATAAACTTTGTTCTTTTTGCTTTCTGATTATATCATTCAAAATCTCTTTCTTATATACTTTTCCGATTATCAGTAACCCGAGTTCTTCTAAATTAAAGCTTTGACCTAAAATCTAATTTTTGGTTAAACAAATTGGTTCCGTTACCGGGAATCTGATAATCAAGCATATCTCAATCTAATTTTCTTAATTACATCAACCATGTCGAACAACAATGACAACACTCAAGGAAACCCAGAAATTCAGACAATCCAGCAACTTCAGGGAGATTCCCCACAAGGCTCTCCACAAGGTTCTCCACGAGGCTCCCCATGACGGTCTCGTGAAGGCACTCCTGATGGATCTCACACAGATGGACAGGTTCAATTCGAAAATGTTGAAACCATGAATGAGGCTCTGCAAAAACTTATTGCCTCTCAAGTCAATAACGCTCTTCAAGCTTTTGTTAGCCAATTACCTGCTGTTCCACCCACATCTACTCCAAACAACAACACTTTGGAGAATCCTCGTTCAGGATTGGTTAATTCAGGCAGCGGTGGAACCCCTAGTGAAACACAAGGGAGAGACCCAGGTAATCCAGTTAACTCTGATTTACAAAATCTAGTACTAACCTTGCAGAAACAGCTTAAGGAGCAAAATGAACGCATAGAGCAAATACCTGGAGTACCGCCCGTGATCAAGGGAGTGGATATAGATAAATATTCCCAACAACCATGGAAGCCAAATGCTGCTCCCCTCCCAATTCCAAAGAAGTTTAAGATGCCTGATATTCCAAAGTATGATGGTACATCAGATCCACGAGATCACGTTACTGCATTCACAACAGGTGTCAAGGGCAATGATTTGACTAAGCAAGAAATTGAGTCGGTCTTGGTCAAAAAATTCGGGGAAACATTCACTAAAGGAGCCTTAACATGGTATTCTCTTTTACCTGAAAATTCTAT